GCTTGGGCACAAGCTCGTCGTCGTCGTCGTCGTCGTCCTTGTCAGACATGTTGTCGGTTTCAAAAGTGGGCGCCCAATCGAGTCACAATGGCTCCGCCTTGAAAGCCACTGTGACGCGACACGGCGTGTACAAGTGAGTGTGCTTTGGCGCTACCAACAGCAACAAAGACGCCAATGGATCGAAAGATGGTAGTATTAAATACGTTGGAACGAGAGAGTAGGTACGAACGTGCAAGCAAAAGCAGCGAAAAGGAGAGGAAACAAGTCCCGAAATGTCATGAAAAGGGGCTAAAACTCGGCCACGTGGCAAAAGCGCGTCGGGTCCAACGACGCGTCGAGAAGCATGTCGTCGTGCTTGATCATGACCAGATGCGCCGGCATCTCGTGCACAACTGGTGTGTTCTGGGCCATGTACGTCGACGACGCCGCGGAGCCGTCGTCGTCCCACAGATCAAAGTACGACGACGAGGGTCCCGCAGCAGCAGCATCGTGGCTTGGCTCGACTGTCGGCGGCCCGTACAAGAAGACATCGCCCCACTCGGTGCTAAACGAGGTAGCGCTCGACACCTCGGGCGTATGCGGCAGATGGACGTTGTGCTTGCGCAGATTCGTCTGCGCATGAAGAAGGTCTCCGTGCATGTAGAGGTCGTATGTGGCGTGCGGAGCCCACTGTTGGCGACGCTCGGATTTCGGAAAGGGCGGTGGGAGCTCGTCGACAAGCATCCGACTGTTGTGGTGGTGGCTGTTGGCGTTGTTGCTCGTGGAGGTGGGGGTACTGTTGGTAGTCGCCGTCTCAGCGACCCCACGGTCCTTGCGCTTGATGAGCTTGATCGCATCCGGTCGATGCTGCACAAAGTTCGGGTGGCTAAACGTGCACACAACCGTCTGCGTCTTGGTCCACTTTTTGAAGCCAAAGTAGTTGAGCTGACGCTGAAAGCTCGAGACTTTGTTGTGCTTGAAATAACGCGGCAGAATGCTGGTGGCGAGCGCATCTGGCTTGCGGATCTGGAATGCCGTGCCTTTGTGCGACCAGCAAATGACACTTTGGTCTTCCTTCTCGAGGATTTCGTAGAGGAACCGGAGAAACTTGGGCACGCCCACGTTGCGCTTCTTGATAGGCGACCGGGGGCTCGACGCTTTGACCTTGGCTTTTGGCGTCGGAAGCGGCGCGGGCACACCACCGTGGAGGGCAAACTGCAGCGGCGGCATCGTGTACTTGAGCTCGTTCATCGCCAAAGTCGATCTTGTTGAGATGGAACAAATCGACTTGTGCGCTTCCGTTTCCGATCCAAGCGCGATGACAAAATTTCCCGCGGTGGCGTTTTGAGCGGCCGGTAAGCCTTCGAACTTGGAATGTTTCGTCCCGCGCGACGCGTGGGATTGGCTCAAAAACAAAACCCCCGTTGTGAGGGACGCCTCCAGTCACAGGTGGTGGCGCGTGCTTGCCTCGAAGTCCCGTGAAAGTTTGGGCTCGAAGAGATTGATGGTCTTGCTCGATGCATACGAACGGGTGCGTGGTGTGTACCAATCAAACATTGAATAGGAGTACAGGATGCTTGCAGAGGCCGTCCTCGATTGCCACCACCCGTGTTGTTGTTGGCAGTACTATAAAGGAACTACGATCTGGCTTCTAGGGGTGCTGTCTGGTGCACGCGTCGTGACGACACGAGCGATCCACGGCGTTGGAAAAGATCGCGGGGCGACGATCTTAATTTCGCGCCACGTGATTGGATGTTGAAAGGGCGTGCCAATTCTTCGATCTTTCACTGCACGCGATGACGCCGTAAGCGTTAACGCCGAGGGTTGTTAGCGGTGTCCCGCACGCCCCCGGTGCGCACGGACCAGCCGTGGCGATGACCAATGGTCACGTTAAAGGCAATGTGATGCAACGGACGCTCTGCTTCTTGGCGTCTCGAATCGATTCGTGGCCTCCAGGACCAACTGGCAAGGAGCGAAAACGGTCGACACCTGAAGGTTCGCGCCACCAGATGACATAAGGGCCAATGACTCAGAGAGTATCTTTCGAAAGCAAGGGGCCGCCACCACCAATATTCGTACTGTGCCCATGATTGCCGTTTGTGAAATATGCCAAGTGTATGGCGTTGTTGTTGTTGAAGTGGGTCTCTATTACAATAGATAAAACTATGCTAAATAAAATTGTCGGGCTTTCTTCGTTGTGTGCACTCGGTTGAGGGACTTGATTTAGGCAGGCGGAGGCAGGAGCGCTATCCGCGGAACGAGGTGACGTCGCGGCCACTCATGTTGGGCGAGGAGCTGGAGAAGACGACGAAGTGCAGGCTGCGCGGGCTCTTGTACGAGGCTGTGGTGCAAGTGCAGTTGAGCGACACGTGCCGCCTTGACGGCAATCGTCCATGGACTTGGCAGCGGTAGGTCGGCGCGGAAGACGCGATCGT